TATTACCACGTTTAATACATTTAGTTTTTGTATGTATTTATTTTCATTCTATTATTTATGGTGATATATATATATATATATATATATATATATATATATATATATATATATATATATATATATATATATATATATATATATATATATATATATATATATATATATATATATATATACACTCGTATATATAACAGAGAGAGAGAGAGAGACCCCACACCAGGTACCCCTCATTATCACCTACTATGTCCCAGGGCCCACAACCAGGTAACTGTACTGTAACGAAACTAACTTCTTCTTCCTCTGGGTCTTGAAGTCACCCCTAATGTTCTCCTTCATTCTTACGGACAAAATTACTCTGCAACACACAACTCCCTTAAACCATTGAATACGAAAGACATAAACCTTGAGTATGATAAAACTCTGAGTACGATAACTTAATCCCAATAAATACGATAACTCAACCCCATAAATACGATAATCTAACCCTATAAGTACGATAGTTTAACCCCTTAGATACGAGTGATGACACCGTATTCAAGAGGTTAAGGCGAACGGTGGAACTCAACATCTACAAGTAGTACTACTGTAGACATCCTCGGCGATTGTGATGTTACCAAAAGTTCTCCGAGGAATTATTCGACAAATTTACACATTCCTTCACGGTTTACGTAATCCAGTTCTCACAGACAAGTCCCGTGAAGTGCCGTGTTATCGAATTTTTATTGGGTATCATTGTTTTGTATACCCGCACTGTTAATGTTTATTGATATTGTCTATATATATATACTGAATCAACGTAAACTTGTATGACTATCTATCTATCTACTTCAATGATTATTTTTTAATCTAAACACACACACATACACACGCAGGCACAAGTCATTCTCACCATCTCCCTCGACGGCGACAAGACACCCTCCTACTCCTCCTCCCCATGAGCTCCTCTCTCCCCCCTCCTCCCCCCTTCAACTGGATAATGATGGAAACACCTCACAACTACCTCCTGGGAAATTTGTGAAGAGGGACGTGTGTTACCGAGGTCCATGTATTTCGGAAATGTTTACAGTCTCTCTCTCTCTCTCTCTCTCTCTCTCTCTCTCTCTCTCTCTCTCGGCACACTCTATATTAGTTAGCTTTTACATAATTCTTAAGTGTGTGTGTGTGTGTGTGTGTGTGTGTGTGTGTGTGTGTGTGTGTTGGACTGAATTCGAACGCACAGTATATCCCCGAACACATAATAGGTTTAATGGACTGGTAGAATGAGAGTATCACCTGAAGAAGATTAGACATGTGAGCTTATTAGTTTAAAATACCTAACACTATCTTCGGTTGAGTTAGGTTAGGTTAGGTTAGGGTGTCTATTCTTCAGGTAATCCGAATATGATATATAGTATACTAATATGCATTTAGTATTCTGAGTAAGCTTATTAAACTAGTAAAATAAGGATAAATATCAATACGTACTTAATATTCTAAAAAAATAAGGACAGGTGTGAAGGGTTTTATTACTCTGAGAGAGAGAGAGAGAGAGAGAGAGAGAGAGAGAGAGAGAGAGAGACTATATATGTAAGGGAGATTTGGTCCTATCATAATATGGCTTTATGGGGGGACATACGTGGGGAGGAGGTGCCAGCACACAGGGTGAGGAAGAGGAGTAGGAATAGTAGTAGTAGTAGTAGTAGTAGTAAGGTAGTAGTAGTAGTAGTAGTAGTAGTAGTAGTAGTAGAGTGAGGAAGAGGAGGACGTGTGAAAACTGTGGTAGGGATGTTTGGCACCTCAGTTAGCTAGATGCTGTTTTTCTCTTCTCTCTCTCTCTCTCTCTCTCTCTTTCCTAATCTATCTCTGTCCCTGTTTCTGTCCGTTTGTCTGTCTCTCTTCCCTCATATTCTGGGTTCACACGTTATTTTAGTTAGGTTGTGGATAGGACAGGACCTGTGTGTCATAACTCAGCCCAGCAGAGGAATGTGATAACCCCAGCTGTGCCAGGATAGGACCCGTGTGTCAGTAACCCCAGCTGTGCCAGGATAGGGGACTCATAGGCAACCCAGCTGTGCCAGGATGGGAACCGTGTGTCATAACCCCAGGCTGTGCCGGGATAGGACCGTGTGTCATAAAACCCAGCTGTAGCAGGATAGGACCTGTGTCATAACCCCAGCTGTAGCAGGATAGGACCCTGGTGTGACATAACTCCAGCTGTGGCAGGATAGGACCATGTGTCATAACTCAGCTGAAGCAGGATAGGACCTGTGTGTCATAACCCCAGCTGTGCCAGGATAGGACCTGGTGTGTCATAAATCCCTGTGCGCAGGATAGGGGACCCGACTACATAATCCCAAGCTGAGTCATGTCAACAGAAACACGTCAGTATTATCGCCTTACTATCGACCCTGCCTAGAAGGTGATGAATAAAGATGGTTTGATATATAATGAGAAACGGTTGCGATAATTATTTTGAGAGAGAGAGAGAGAGAGAGAGAGAGAGAGAGAGAGAGAGAGAGAAGAACATTGTAAAAAAAAAACCACTCAAAACAGCACTGATTTGCTTACATACAACAGTATTTGACTTCCTCACATACACAAACAAAAATCCTTCCGACTGACCACTCCACGTCACTATACTCTTGGTCACAGAAAATATCCCACATTACGACTTCGAGGTATATCTCTATTCCCACTCTCTTTCTCGATGGATTGAAAACGTTTGACAATCAGAATACACTATTTATTTCTAGAAACCTGATTGGCTGAGATGTTCGTCATATGTATTGTGCATTGAGCCCTCGTATGTATCGTATCATTACAGCAGTTACGCGACAGATAATGTAATGGTGGATTTTATGTGAAATTATATAATGTTCCTCCTTGTACGAGTAGATTAGGACGTGTTGAGGTAAACATCTTTGACCCGTTGTGGAGGACAGTGAGGAGGAGAGGAGACTTGTGAAGTATGTGTGACGGAATCAGGTCATTACTTCCTCCTCCTCCTCCTCCTCCTCCTCCTCTCCTTTCTCCTCTCTCCCCACCCCTTTCCTCCCTCCTCCTCTTCCCTGCTGCTGAAATCAGTCCTTCTCCCCTCACTCACATAGGCAATGACACTCTCCTCCTCCTTTCTTCTGCCATTGGCAATCAGTTCCCCTCTCCTCTCCTCCCACAGGTAACACTGCCCTCCTCCCTCCCACAACATTGCCCCCCTTCCTCCTACCCAGGTAACATCCCCTCCTCCTCCTCCTCCTCCTCCAACAGGTAACACTGCCTCCTTCCTCTCCCCCACAGGTAACACTGCCCCCTTCCTCCTCCTCCCACAGGTAACACTGCCCTCCTCCTTCTCCCATAACACTGCCCCTTCCTCCTCCTCCCACAGGTAACACCGTCCCTCCTCCTCCTCCTCCTCCTCCTCCTACAGGTAACGTTGCTTCCCCTTCTTTTCCTTCCTCCTTTCCTCCTTCTGCCGAATGGGAATCAGCACCATCCATTTTAAAGATTTAAGGCGGCAACTGAGGTTCTGCTGACAGTGATGGTGGGAGAGGTAGTGTGGATGGTGGTGACGGAGTGGTGGTGATGACGGAGTGGTGGTGATGACGGAGTGGTGGTGATGACGGAGTGGTGGGTGAGGGTGGTGATGACGGAGCGGTGGTGATGACGGAGGTGGTGGATGACGATGGTAGGATGACGGGAGCAGGGTGATGACGGAGTGGTGGTGATGACGGAGGGTGATGACGGAGTGGTGGTGATGACGGGAGGGTGGGATGACGGAGTGGTGGTGATGACGAGTGGTGGTGAGAGTGTGGTGATGACGGAGTGGTGATGAGATGGGTGATGACGGTGGTGGATACTGAGTGGGTGGTGGTGACGAGTGGTGGGGTGACGGAGTGGGTGATGATGGAGTTATGGTGATGGAGTTATGGTGATGGAGTGGTGGTGATGGAGTTATGGTGATCGAGTTCTGGTGATGGAGTGGTGGTGATGGAGTAGGTGATGGAGTTATGGTGATGGAGTTATGGTGATGGAGTGGTGGTGATGGAGTTGTGGTGATGGAGTGGTGGTGAAGGAGTTGTGGTGACGTAGTGGTGTGGATGTAAGTCAGGTGATGGGAGGGTTATAGTGTGGTGATGGAGTGTGTGTGTGTGATGGCGATGGGTGTTACTGGGTGGGTGTTGTCAGGTGATGAGGCGCAGGTGTAACAGGTGTAACAGGTGTCATTATTTTATGTCTACCTGCTTACAATAGACACAATTAAGGAAGGATTGAGACAAGTGTGTTATATCATATGTTAGGACAGCGCCATCTATTGGTTAAGTAAAAGGTTATACTGCCAAGACTCGCCACACTGGACTGTCTTAATGTTTCGACTCATATATTCGAGGTTTGGTGTTGGATTAATCACCCGAGAACAGTCAGTCAGATTGTGGACAGTATGGTTGTCGACCATGAGTCTCGCCTCCTTCTCCTCCATAGTGATGACTACATTGTTATTTGTAATGTGTGAACTGTCTTCACTTGTGTTTTAAGTGTTCCTGCTCCAGTTAGGTTAAGTACTGTATATTGTAATTTATTTAATTGTAGGTTTATTAGTGTTGTTTTGTCACTGACTATATTCTCGACCTGAGCAAACTTTCTATTTAGTTATTTTGTCATTATTGTTTCTTGTATGCATTGTACATAGTATATATTAATTATATTGTTATTTTACTTGTTGGGTTTCCTTCACGGATATCTGAGATTAACCAGTCTTCGAAAACGTTCCATGTAAAAACAGTTATACTAGTCGAGAACCCAACACAAGGAAGAGTTAACGTAACAAGTATCAATTTTCAAGTCCTACAAATGTCCTAACTTTGGTATACTTTTTTCATAGTTTCCTACGACTTAAAGTTTGTTAGATGACTTGAAAACACATAAAAGTTATCTTTTACTTAAAGAAAGAAGGGTCCGAATGCTTTTGTTTTATATGAAAGAGGACAAACTCCTAAAACAATCACAAATCGTTCCTCGTGGTCCACATGTTGGTAATGATGAACGAAAAGCAGAGTCATGGTCTCAAAAACATAGGAATTGGTACGTTTCTTTATTACATCGGAAGAGAGAAAGTTAATCCTGTTTCATCCAGATAAATGTAAAATACTGACTATTGGTAGAACTATAGATACAGAAGTCGAGGAATGTATTACATGGAGGAGGAAGGTGAGATCAAGAGGAGGAAGACGTATCTACTGTAAGCAGTATCTATCAGTTCACCCATGTCTTCTGATGGTGTAAATGATACAGTTGATAAGACCATGGCGAACTGCGTGGGGGCTGTGATCAAGACCTTTAAAATGACGTACGTGATATATATATATATATATATATATATATATATATATATATATATATATATATATATATATATATATATATATATATATATATATATAACATCATACAGAGACAAATAAAAAGAAGCAGGATATACGGACAAACGGTATAGCCATCGTGTAGTAGTATAACGAAATAAGTTAACTAAAAGCATGACATTCCTGGCGGCAGTGATGCTTGGTAGTGGCGCCGTGTGGTGGTGAAACAGTAATGTAATTAAGATAGCAATGTGTTACTCTGAAACAAGACGATAATTGGTGGTGAGAATTAAATATCGTGGCGGGGGTTGTGTAGAGCGCCACTAGGAGTTCATTATGTGTGTGTGTCACACACACACACCACACACACACACACACACACACACACACATCGACAAACAATAAAGATGAGTCAGTTTTGTTGTGAAGGTTCAATTATTCTAACCACCAGAGGCATGTGAAAATAAAACGGTTCCTCATAGTAGTACAGAGCAGGCAGCGTCCTCGAAGGGCAAGAGCGGCAGCTCCTCAAGGTGGAGAGGCAGCGTCCTCAGAACAGAGCAGGCAGCGTCCCCAGGTGCACAACAGGCAGCGCCTCAGGGGCAAGAGAGCAGGCAGCGTCCTCTGATTGCAACAGGGCAGGCAGCTTCCAGGTGCAACAGAGCAGGCAGCGTCCTCAAGGTGCAACAGAACAGGCAGCGTCCCCAAGGGGCAAGAGGCAGGCAGCGTCCTCAAGGTGCAACAGAGCAGGCAGCGTCCTCAGGGGCAAAGAGCAGGCTGCGTCCTCAGAGTGCAACAGAGCAGGCAGCTTCCTCAGGTGCAACAGAGCAGGCAGCGTCCTCAAGGTGCAAGAGAAGGCTGCGTCCTCAAGGCAACAGAGCAGGCGCTTTCGGTGCAACAGAGCGGCAGCGTCTCAAGGTGCAACAAGGCAGCGTCTCAGGGAAGGCAGGCAGCGTCCTCAAGGTGCAACAGAGCAGGCAGCGTCCTCAAGGGCAACAGAACAGGCAGCGTCCTCAGGGGCAACAGAGCAGGCAGCGTCCTCGAAGGTGCAACAGAGCAGGCAGCGTCCTCCAAAGAGCAGAGAAGCGTTCTCAAGGTGCAACAGAGCAGCTTCCTCAAGGTGCAACAGAGCAGGCAGCGTCCTCAAGGGTGCAACAGAGCAGGCAGCGTCCTCGAGGGCGAGGCAGGCAGCGTCCTCGAAGGGGCAAGAGAGCAGGCAGCGTCCTCAAGGTGCAACAGAGCAGGCAGCGTCCTCAAGGGGCAAGAGAGCAGGCTGCGTCCTCAAGGTGCAACAGAGCAGGCAGCGTCCTCAAGGTGCAAGAGAGCAGGCAGCGTCCTCAAGGTGCAACACAGCAGGCAGCGTCCTCAAGGTGCAACACAGTAGGCACCGTCCTCACAGTGCAACACACACGGCAGGCAGCGTCCTCACAGTGCAACACACACGGCAGGCAGCGTCCTCACAGTGCAACACACACAGCAGGAAGCGTCCTCACAGTGCAACACACACAGCAGAAAGCGTCCTCACAGTGCAACACACACAGCAGGAAGCGTCCTCACAGAGCAACACAGCAGGCAGCGTGTTCATAAGTAAAGTGAATAACATAAGAGATCAGTAAAAGTGATGTTTACATAAAACTTCGGAGTGTTATTAAAGTTACAAGTATTCTTAATCTATTTGAACGTTGACTTCCCTCATCCCATTCCTCTTTATTCCCATCATTTCCCTTCTCCTCTTCTTCCTCATCCCATCTCTTCTCATTCATCCTCATTCCCATCTTCTCCCTTTCCTCTTAGCCCCCATTTTCCTCCCCTTCCTCTTTACTCTCATCTTCCTCTCTTTCCTTTTAACTCCACCTCTTTCCTCCTCATTCCCTTCTTCTTCTTCCTCCTCATCCCAATCTCTTCTCATTCCCATCTTCTCCCTTTCCTCTTAGCCCCCATTTTCCCCCTTTCTTCTTAACTCTCATAATCCTCTCTTTCCTTTTAACCCCATCCCTCCCCTTCCTCTTCATTCCCATCCTCCTTCCCTTCCCCCTTCTTCTTCCCCTCCTCTTTTCCCCCCATCTCCTCCCCCCTTCTACCTATCCACCATCCTTCCTCCCGTCCCCGTCACCATAAAACGAGGAAGAATGTAATTATGAGACGAAGGTGAAGGTGTGGCGGGATTCCTTCGTCAGCAACATAAAGTGAATCATCCATCAGTTTTATTCAGGTGTTCGTATTTATTGTATTAATTATAGTAAGATATTGAATACCCTTTAGTAGACTCTTTTTCACATAATCAATCAATATCACATCTATTAATCATTACTATGTATATTCGTTTTACTGATGATAATTACTGAAGAAAATATAAAGCACACACACAAACATAATTTTCATATTTGGTTTGTTCGTTTTACATAACAAGCCCGTAAGTAACTGGTCGGTGGTTTATGAATTTGTTACTGTAATGAATTCAACAGCATCCTCTTTATCACATTACTTAATCATGAATTATGTAAACGTCGGAGAGCTGTCAGCCTCCTGACGCGTGGTGATGTGAGCCGCCCCTTTAGGGCTTCTGTTTTATCACACTTGTTTCTCCCTACCTGATACAGAAAACGAGCATTACCATTGTTCATAGAAAGTGGGTATACAATAACACACAGAAGATGGGAACTTATGGGTTGACACTTATTGATATGGATATTTTGATTCTTTTTATGTTTGAGTGTTGTAGAACTTGACATGTTAGCTGCATAAGATTGTCTTAGAAGGTCCCATTTTCCAGTTGATTTCTAGTGTAGTGAGTGTTTGTTTGTAAACGTTTGTGGTGTGTGGTGTTGGTGGGGTGGGTGTAGTATCGACCAGGGAGCGTGTGCGGAGCTGCCGTCAGTGAGTCAGTGTGTGGTGCCCAGCTCGGACGGCAGCCCGCACCCTCCATCCTCCGCCACGCTGTCTCACACTCGTTCAGCCTCCTCCTCCTCCTCCTCCTCCTCCTCTCCTCTTTCTTCTTTTTCTTCTCCTCTTTCTTTCTTTTCCTCCTTTCCTTCTTCTCTTTTACCACTTACTAAGTCTTATCAACTTGTTCCTACTTCTTGTCCTTTACCTCCGACGTCACCTGAGGCAGCAGGTTCCTCCTCTGTCAGGAGTTCTAGGCAGCCGGCATCCGCGTGGTTGAGTGAGTCATCGGTATCCCCGGATAAGGCTCTGTCTCCACCCCTCACTACCTCGCCCTTCAAATCCAATCCCCGGAAATTGTGCCCGTCGGAATCATCCCCGGACAAACGTCCCCGGAGTGCCTCTATCCCCCAGTCGCCCTCGATCTGCCTGTCTTGGAGTGCCAGTGCACCTGAGATCATCACGGAGCGCTTCCCTCGGAGTGTGTCGCTCCCGGATTCGTCCCTTGAGGAGCAACTTTGGCCGGACTCAGTGCCTGACTCGCCCTCGGGTAAGGCCACCCCCTGGACTAGGCTCCTACCTCGGACGCACTCGTCCCTGGTCTCGCTCTCGGGGTCACCTTCTTACGTGTCCCTGGACTCGAGTCCACCGTCGTCGCCGCCGTCCTCGCCCCCAGGTCACGGAGGGTTCAACATGCCGCGACCCCTGGCACAGAGCGCCCTCATGAGGCCATTCGTGGCCCTGGCGCTGCCCGGGATGTACCTCGTCTATAAGTATAACCAGTACAAGAGGCAGCAGCAAGAAGCCAACCGACGCAAAGCAGCAGAGAGGGAACTTGTGCAGCTCAACCACAAAATCGTAAGTACCCTCGCTGGTCCCTTACTGGCACTGTGTCTCTTATTATGGTGCCCGATGACCTGATGTCACTCTCACTTTATGGCACCGATCCTCGTACTGTGATGCCTGTCACTTCTCCACCAGTTGCCTCCGTACTTTACTATCTTTGTGTTGCCGAGAAACCTGCTGTGGTTTATGTTTTATACAAAAATCTCCAGCATAAACGAGACCTCTGTACATTCTGCGGTGACACAACTGCGGTGACGAGAAGCATTTCAGATCGACAATATTTTACCTATACTGTATATACACTTCATTGCAAGTGTGTGTGTGTATGTGTGTGTGTGTGTATCTGTGTGTGTATTTGTGTGTGTGTGTGTGTGTGTGTGTGTGTGTGTGTGTGTGTGTGTGTGTGTGTGTGTGTGTGTGTGTGTGTGTGTGTGTGTGTGTGTGCATGCATCGCCGTTGGATGACGTGTAGACACAAAGTCAACAGACGGGTATATTTCAAGGTCAGGAGCTACGTCGTTACTCGGTAAATCTCACACCTTATCTTTTTACACCACTCTGGAATTTTTACCGTAAATATTAAGTCATTACTTCTTCAGCAGCAAAAACTGTTTCTCTAAAATCTGTGAGTTTCACTTTTAATTATGCAGCTCATACGACTCTGAGCTATAAATGAGGAGGTAGTAATGTAGCAGCAAGAGGATTAAGCTCGGTGCGTGTGTCGGGGCAGTGTGGTGAGCGGGGGCCACGACGTCTAGTCCCCAGGGCCATGTCAAGCCAACAGCTCAGGTCGCTAAGGAGTGCTCCTGGCACCCTCTTACAGTGAACCATTGTACAAGTTAAGAAAAAACAACAACGTAAATTGCTGAAATATCTTTACCAATTATACCAGAATTAGTGACGCAGTAGTAAAACAGTTATTACGAAGGCTAAGATCTACTGCGTCGAGGACCTTAAATCCGGGTCGTATTTTCTTCCCTTGGGGTCTGTCCGAAGCTTTGACGACTTTAAACTAACGTATATACCTATCTAGTTTGTCTGTCTGTCTGTGTGTGTGTCTGTCTGTCTGTCTGCCCTCAAGTGCAAAAATACTATTTTTAAAATAGACATATACGATCAGCCTACAATACATAACACTTAATCTGAAAGTTTTATTACAGAAAAAACAATTAATAAGACAAAACAGAACGGTAATAACAGAAGCCAGAGAACACACACACACACACACACACACACACACACACACACACACACACACACTTCCCGTATTAAACACCCGTGGAGGAGGTAACGGTGCATAAGGCAGCAAGTGAAGCAAGAGTAGAGGTGAGGTGAGGAGAGAAGGTGTTACGTGTGTCTGGGGCGTTAAGTAAGAGTGAGGGTGAGGCAAGGACGACACACACACACACACAAGTTGGAGATTCAACACTTGTCACTCCTCAACACTCATCAGCGAGGCAGGTGGTAGAAGAGGTAGTGTGGAGTTGGTAGTGGAGGTAGTGTGGAGGTAGTGTGGAGGTGTTAGTGGAGGTAGTGTGGAGGTGTTAGTGGAGGTAGTGTGGAGGTGTTAGTGGAGGTAGTGTGGAGGTGTTAGTGGAGGTAGTGTGGAGGTGTTAGTGGAGGTAGTGTGGAGGTGTTAGTGTGGAGGTGTTAGTGGAGTGTGGAGGTGTTAGTGGAGGTAGTGTGGAGGTGTTAGTGGAGGTAGTGTGGAGGTGTTAGTGGAGGTAGTGTGGAGGTGTTAGTGGAGGTAGTGTGGAGGTGTTAGTGGAAATACAGTAACTACTATATAACTGATGACAATACATCGCCTCGGTACGTTTGAAATATTACAAGACCTGCATATTGTGGCAACTATCTTACTTATGTATACTGTGTCATGTATCTTACTTATGTATATTATATCATGTATCTTAGGTATATTGTGCCATGTATATTTCTTAGTATGCAATGGTTGATGATAAGTGTATTGGAGCGGAGTAATACATTGCAACTTCATCCTCTCGGGCAGACCATATTTATTGACTGTCTTCTTGTCTAGAATGAAAGGTTTTAAGCTTTTCGTTAACATACGTGGCAGTGTAGGGAGTTGATATTGACAATGAGACATAAAGAATTACGCACACACACACACACACGTATCTCAGTAGTTTACCAGTCACTATGAACACTTGGGGAGACAAGAACGCTCCCCAGTATCGCATTAAAGATACGATCAGTGCCCCCTTACACCGTCTCGACCCTCTTCACTAAACTGCACATTGAGTCCCATTTTAACACGTCTAAAAACACAGTCTGCAGTGCCTTTACCCTCGACCATGAAGGAGGGAACGAACTTGTGGATAGATAACAATAAAGTTTTAAGATAAGACATTGCAATATAACCCAAATACTATTAACATGGACGAAAATTACAGCAAATTATTCACCTCCTCTAAAATGAATCTAAAATAATTTGTTTGATGTTTGTGAAAATTATTTAGAAGTGGAAGGCGTTTTAGATCGAGTTAATAAGTTTCTGGGTAGCTTGTTAGGCCACTATATATGGTAATGTAAAGACACTTCCCTGCTGCGACATCTATAAGTGCCCTTCAGTGTTGTTAGTGACGACCATTTGGGAGAAGGTGTGTAGATTTAATAACAGTGCAGGTAGGTTAATGGTCATCTGGTGAAATGGGTCCCAGTTCTTATAGGCTTTTAACTGAACCTACCTTAACCATTAGTACTAGGAGCCAGTTCGAATGGGTTCCAATTCTAATTGATCCTAGTATGAATGAGCTTCAATCTCTATGGGCTTTAGCCCTATTGGGTTATAGATAATGATTAGGTCAAGTTAGGTCAAGTTATGTTATGATATGTTAGGTTATATTAGGTTAGGTTAGATATGAGTCTATTAAAGCTGAAGTTTATTTTAACGTCCACAGCTCCCTGGAACACAGCACACCCTCACTACAGACAGTGTCACGGCACACACACACACACACACACACACACACACACACACACACACACACACACACACACACACACACACACCACACTCTCCCCACACACACATCCCCTCCCACACACACACACTCTCCCCACACACATCCCCTCCACACACACATCCCCTCCCCACACACACACATTCCCCAACACACACATCCCCCCACACACATTCCCCACACACATTCCCCTCCACACTCCCTGCACACACACACACGCTCCCTGCACACACACACACACACTGCCCCCACACACACTGCCCCCACACACACTGCCCCCACACACACTTGCTCTCCCCACACACTCACTTTTACCCCACACTCCCCACCCTCATACACCCCCTACACACATTCTCCACACACGCCTCCCCTACACTCCTCTTGCTCCTTCCACACACACACACACACACTCCCCACACACTACACACTACACCCCCCTCACACACACACACCTCCCCCCCACACACACACACTCCCCCCACACTACACCCCCTCCCCCACACACACACACACTGCACTCCCCCACACACTACACCCCTCCCCCACACACACACACACACACCCACACACACGTCTTCCTTCAGGCGCCATTAGTAAGACTTAGGACGATGCTGGGGTAGTGGGATCAGAATCATTAATGTTATTGGTGAGTCTTTTGATTAAGGAGCTTTTCTATTTTGTCAAATTAGGTGGTTTCTGTGGGTGTGTTGTGGGTGTGGGGAAGTCTCATGTGGGTGTGAAGAGAGGCTATGTTTCAATGAGGTGTGGGTGTCAGGGGAGTGTAGAAGAAGGTATTGTTCAGGGGTGTGTGTGTAATAATAATAATTAACGGTTTTATTGAAAGAAGCGTAGCCAGAGGCTGAAAATATACAGTTACATATTTGGGAATGGATTTTGAATTACAAATAATATACAAGTAACATAAGTGACACAAATAAGACATATAATAACTAGATGGGGAAAAGCTCAAACTACAGTTCATTTCAACATAGTGACAGTGTAAGGAGCAGTGTTTACTGGGAGTGAATATACTGATTTATTACAAGTTATTGATAATTTTTACAATGGTTGGGACTGGGCTGTTCTTATAGCGATCAGTTCGTGCACGTATGGGCTGGATGCGGTTGTGGTGTCGAACAGCAATTCTCGGACAAGGGATCTCAGGTGGTAGTAGGAGCCGGTGTCGGGGATGGTGTAGAAGCTTCTTACCAAATTTGCAGATGAGGTCGTGGTGATGGTCAGTGAGAGTCGAAAGGGTCAGTGTGTTGAGCGCTTCTTGATATGTGGAGTAGGAAGGGGAGAGAATAATCTTGCATGCCCTCTTTTGCACTTTTTCTAGGTGTGTGTGTGTGTGTGTGTGTGTGTGTGTGTGTGTGTGTGTGTGTGTGTGTGTGTGTGTGTGTGTGTGTGTGTGTGTGTGCGTATGTAAATTTCTTATATTTCTTATTTTCTGAACGCTAAATAATGCTGGGTGGCCTCTCCTCCCTACCTAACAATGGCGGGTTTCCTCTGGGCTCTGTACTGGCACCAACTCCCTTTTATAATTACGCATTAAGGATATTCAGTGATAAAAACTGTGTTCAATCCTACACTCTGACTCAACCCTCCACACATCCTACACTCTGACTCAACCCTCCACACATCCTACACTCTGACTCAACCCTCCACACATCCTACACTCTGACTCAACCCTCCACACATCCTACACTCTGACTCAACCCTCCACACATCCTACACTCTGACTCAACCCTCCACACATCCTTCACTCTGACTCAACCCTCCACACATCCTACACTCTGACTCAACCCTCCACACATCCTTCACTCTGACTACCCCCAAACAATCATCCTCATCTGTACAGGAAGGTCTCACCCGTACAGCTGGGTCGGGAACATCAATCTTTGTTTCCTTCAATACTACTACACCAAAATGCTTAGTAATGGGCATGATGTTATACAAGCAACTGAAGATGAGGTCCACTAGCTTGTTTCATCTGGAGTTTAACCACCCTAATGCTTATCTAATCTAACATGACCTTACTTAATCTAACTTAACCTAACATAACCTAAACTAAACCCCTATTTAGGTGGCGTAAGCGTGGTTAATATTCAAGAGAAATAAGCTGGAGTGATTCATCTTTATATGATCCGATTTTGACAGCATCATCGTCCCATCACCACACAACATTGCCATCACCTTTACGTCAAATCTTACCATGACAAATTTCCCAAGATACTGAGCTAAAATTTTACACCCTGGTGGAGCGAGTCTTGTAGATAATGAGTAAGTTTTGACTAATTAAGTCATCCTTCACAACTACGGTGAACGCTGCCAGGCTCTTGAGTCATCCCAGTGTGGTATAGTGAATACTGGAAGGCTCTTAAGTCACCCTTTCATAGCTGCAGTGAATGTTGGAAGGTCCTAGGTCACCCCTAACAGCTGCAGTAAATGTTGGAAGGTCCTAGGTCACCCCTCATAGCTGCAGTGAATGTTGGAAGGTCATAGGTCACCCTTCATAGCTGCAGTTAATGTTGGAAGGTCCTAGGTCACCCTTCATAGCTGCAGTTAATGTTGGAAGGTCCTAGGTCACCCTTCATAGCTGCAGTGAATGTAGGAAGGTCCTAGGCCACACCTTATAGCTGCAGTGAATGTTGGAAGGTACTAGGTCTCCCCTCATAGCTGCAGTGAATGTTGGAAGGTCCTAGGCCACACCTTATAGCTGCAGTGAATGTTGTAAGGTACTAGGTCACCTCATAGCTGCAGTGAATGTTGGAAGGTACTAGGTCACCCCTCATAGCTGCAGTGAATGTTGGAAGGTCCTAGGAAGGCTGCAGTGAATGTTGTAAGGTACTAGGTCACCTGCCCTCATAGCTGCAGTGAATGTTGGAAGGTCCTAGGTCACCTCTCATAGCTGCAGTGAACACACAAAACAGAGAGTGGTGTTCGTTGTCCACCGGCCTGCCAATACTCAATATAAAATCGCTTTATTGGCTAACGTCACGGACCCCGGCACCCCTGAGTATTGCTGTGTGTTACTGTAGTGTGTGTGTGTTGCTGTGCTGAGTGTGTTGCTGTGGTGTGTGTGTGTGTGTGTGTGTGTGTGTGTGTGTGTGTGTTGCTGTGGTGTGTGTTGCTGTGGTGTATGTTGCGTGTTGCTGTGGTGTGTGTTGCGTGTTGCTGTGGTGTGTGTTGCTGTGGTGTGTGTGTGTGTCCCAGCAGGTTATGTCCGGCAGGATATTATCTAATCGTCGGTGATGAAGTATTGAACCTGAACGTCTGTCTGGCAGCGTCCTACCCGTCCTTAGCGACACGTCATATGGCTCCATGTCCTAATTAACCCCAATCTAACCTAAGCTAACCGGACCGGACCTGACCTGACCTGACCTGACCTACCTAACCTAGTCTTACCTAAGACGATCCAATTTAACCAACAAGGAAAGGCCTTAGTTCTAATTGACCCGTGCTTATTTGGACAATGGTCGTATAGCTTTTGTTAGGTTATGTAAAACTGGAGTCCATTAAAACTGAGGTATATTAAAACTGGGGCCAATTTAAACTGGTTCTATTATTTCTGGGGTCTATTTAAATTGGGGTGTATTAAAACTGAGCCTATTAAAATTGTGGCCCATTAAAAACAGGGACTTTTATAAATGAGTCCTATTAAAACTTCGTCCTATTAAAATTGGTACTATTAAAACTAGGGGCTATTAACACTGGGTCTATTAAACAGAAGCTATTAAAAAGTCTTCTTAACGGGCAATGTTCGGTGGATTTGGCATCCTGTGTACCGCCGGCAAGGTCGTAGGCTCGTAACACTCGTCTTGCCCGCGGTGCCCACCATTTCTCTGTGGATATCGGTCACACGAGAATAACCCGTTATAGTACCTCCTTCTGTCCTCACACAGCCAAACTGTTGAATGCTCTGCCTTCTTCTGTGTTCCCATACTCATACAATGTCTCACTTCAAAAAGCTGGTTTTCCGGTTTCTTCGCGGTGTAGATTAATATAACCTTTTCCTTTTTTATTTATAATTTCTTTCTATTCTTATTTTTCGTCCCCCTCCCCCAGGGGATATATTGTATGGTACTGGCTGAGATTCCCGGCTTTATCCGTGTTATTGTATGGCACTATGATCAAGGAGCAACACGATATAACAAGACCATCCCCTCAGCCACCCGCACCTCCCTACCAAATTTTATCTCTTTATCTTGAAAACTGTGTGGAAGTGATACACACACACACACACACACACACACACACACACACACACACACACACACACACACACACACACACACACTGTATCATTTATATGTTTAGTAAGTCATTGAGAGATAATTAAACTATGTATCAGAAGATGGAATTAAAGCGACGAGTTTGGAATAGTTTTTAATATTGAGAAGACATATTTGAATGATGATGAGGCCTGATGTGGATGGATGGATGGATGACTAGAAGGATGGACGGAGGGACGGATGGATGGAGGGAAGGATGGACGGATGGATGGAGGGAAGGATGGATGGATGAACCCTATGCATATAATATACACAACTGTTCTCTTTTACATTCAGTAACCTGGAACGTATACGCAGCGACGCAGTGAATTACTTTTGACAATTATTCATGGGAAAAGGTAACTTACTCGGTCGTGGTAGTACTCAAGGGGAAGAATCTCCAGCCACGCAGCCTCTCTAAGCAGGGCGGATCAGTAGTTTATTTACCGAGAAGGATCACACACACACCATCTGGGAGGGAGTTACTACACCACGTGAGGCCCCTCATAACACCATCTGAGGGAACTACTACACCACGTGAGGTCCCTTCTAACACCATCTGGGAGGGAGTTACTACACTACGTGTTTGCTGTTCAACACCAACATTAATCTGCATGTTCACTGTATGTTCCTTTACCACCAAATGTATGGTTCAGAGAACTTTTTCAATAAACCGTCAATATTATCACACACACACACACACACACACACACACACACACACACACACACACACACACACACACACACACACACACACACACACACACACACACACACACACACACACACACACACACACACACACACACGTTCCAATCATAGGGTCGCTCCTTGACGATAAATTCTTAATACTTCTTCATCATATATAAACAGTGGATGTGATACCGATTTAAGCCAATGATAGTTAACCTTTACGAATATTTTATGCCTGTGGATGGTGGCGGTGTGGGGAGTCAGGGAGAGAGGGTGTGAGGGAGGGAAGGAGTGTGTGAGGGAGGGAGGGAGAGAGGGAGTGAAGGACGGATAGTGTGAGGGTGGGAGGGTGTAAGGGTGGGAGGGTGTGAAGCCTAGGGAAAGGTTATGGTTCGACTGCCTTCAATCTCCCTAATGCTGAATATGAATGGGGACTGACAGTTGCTGATTAAGGCTGACGGAAATTAACAAACTGAGTGAAACTGACTGAGATTGACCGAAACTGAAAGACTGTTAGAAGCTGATTTAGACTGACATAAATTGACAGTTTGACTGAACCTGAATGAAACTAACAAGTAATGAATGATATTGACAGAAGATAACAGACTGATCGTATTTGACAGTGACAGAATCTGATTGAGAATGACAGAAACTGACTGAGATTGACTGAAGCTGACAGACAGTTAGAAGCTGATTTAAACTGACAGAAGTTAATTGAGACTGACAGAAGCTGAATGAGACTGACGGGAAGTAATACATCTGTTGTAACTTGTTGAACCATCGTCACTTTCCACTTATATACAGATTGTCTGACTGCTCGACTGACTAAATGATTGAGATAATTTTTCTCCCCACACCCCCGGCCCGCTCTCCTTACTGCACCCCCGGCCCGCTCTCCTTACTGCACCCCCGGCCCGCTCTCCTTACTGCACCCCGGCACCCTCTCCCTGCTGGCTGCCCCTTACTGCACCCCGCTCTCCTTACTGCACCCCTGGCCCGCTCTCCTTGACTGCACCCCGGCCCGCTCTCCTTACCCCCCCGGCCGCTCTCCTTACTGCACCCTCTCCTGCACAGCTCTCCTTACTGCACCCCTGGCCCGCTCTCCTTACTGCACCCCTGGCCCGCTCTCCTACTGCACCCCTGGCCCGCTCTCCTTCTTGCACCCCCGGCCCGCTCTCCTTACTGCACCCCGGCTCTCGCCTGCACCCTGGCCAGCTCTCCTGCACCAATGGCCCGCTCTCTAACTGCACCCCTGGCCCTGCTTCTCATACTGCACCTGGCCCGCTCTCCTTACTGCACATGCACCCCTGGCCCGCTCTCCTTACTGCACCCCCGGCCCGCTCTCCTTACTGCACCCTGGCCCGCTCTGCACCCCTGGCCCGCTCTCCTTCTGCACCCCGGCCCGCTCTCCTTACTGCACCCCGGCCCGCTCTCCTTACTGCACCCCTGGCCCGCTCTCCCTGCACCCTGGCCCGCTCTCCTTACTGCACCCCCGGCCCTGCTCGCAACTGCACCCCTGGCCCGCTCTCCTTACTGCACCCCTGGCCAGCTCTCCTTACTGCACCCCCGGCCAAGCACACCTTACACCTTTGGTTTTCCCTTCAAAGTCACACAGCGATCTGAAATGTCTTAACGTATCCCAGAATTCATTAACAACAACAGATAACGAATGTAAACACGTAAAAAATAAAAACACAAAATCAGTTACAAAAAAAAAACCCGCAAAAAATCATAAAATTTCTTCCACGGAGTTGTAAGATGTTGTCATTTTTTGTTTCTTGCCTGAGTTTTGTTCCCTTGCAAGATATGAGCCTCTGAAAAGTGGTTTATTTTTTATAGTAATCTTCGCTTTTTTCTGAGTTTTGTTCATGTCAGAAAAAAAAAACTGGTGTAATTTCTAATCAATGCGGTATTTTATTTATGTTTTCATGTAATATTGGAACAGTTAAGCAATTTTGTTTTGCTTCTTGTTTACGGTAAGAAGTTGTTTACAGTGAAGACATAAGACAGGCATATCTTCTAATGTATTTTCTTTTATTAACTCGTGTTATTGTTTACCTAGGAGATGTAAACACTTATTCAGCTCTCGTACATTACCTGCACTACCGCCTCCTCTCACCGCTGTTGTTAACCCCACCAAAGGCTAACATCTTTTACGAGTCTCAGGGTCCATTTTCTCTATTAAGGCCAGAGCTCGGATTCTTAACAGTACGTAATTCTAATCTTTTTATTTCTAACTGGAGATGTGAGAACGCCTTTAACTGGCTCAACTGAATTTAGCATTTTCTTTTCTCTCTAACTGGCGCACCGGAGATGTGAGAACGAACTTAACTGGCGCACCAGAGATGTGAGAACGAATCTAACTGGCGCACCAGAGATGTGAGAACGATCTTAACTGGCGCACCAGAGATGTGAGAACGAATCTAACTGGCGCACCAGAGATGTGAGAACGAATCTTACTGGCGCACCGGTGATGTGAGAACGAATCTAACTTTCAAAACTTTAAATGGATGTTTTTTTCTTCTTTTCGCTGTTCATATTTATGCTCACATTACCAGACAAACTTTTTATATAGATGTATGACAAGAAAATTTAGTTATCAGGTGACGACAGGGCCGGATTAAATGTTGTGGGGCCCTGTCATTAAAACTTTATATATATATATATATATATATATATATATATATATATATATATATATATATATATATATATATATATATATATATATATATATATATATATATATATATATATATCACAGTACAGTTTTTGGATGACGAAAGCATGATCTGCTTCGTTGGGGCCCCTTTTGTGTGGGAGGCCTCCCGAGCTCTGGCCCCGGTTGCCTCCCCCTTTAATCCAGCACTGGGTGACGTAAGTATTCCACACCTACTGTTTATAGAGTCAGGTCTGTTCCACGCCTAGAGTTTAGTAGCGTTAAGGGCAGTATACCACGCCTAGAGTGTTTGGCGATAACACTAAATAACTCAGCTGACTCACTCTGTTATTCTGGGAGGCGGGCGGGCGGGTGCGGGCGACACTCCGTACTGCAGGAAGACTTCGACACACGCTAGATGGTGAGGAGAACGAAGACAAGAGGAGATCGAGTCAACACACCGGAAGTGAAAACAATAACAACAGCAATTAGCATAAAATTTATGCGAGTTTGGTAGAGTCACTTTTTACTGTGCTACCTTTTTTGACTCTCCACCCTAGATGTGGCACAGATGACGTTTGCTAAGGTCAACACAGCAGCCACCATACAAGCAGGTCTGGCAAGGTCTTCTGCTGCGTTACGACCTTCACTTGGTCTTGTTACGTAAGGTCTCCCAGCTTTTGTGATTATGATGTAAATTTCCGAATCAAATACAGCTAGAAAAACCACCATGAGTTATACAGAAGTTGACTTAGTGTATGTAAATGATTACCTCACATCTTACCCTTATCTGTCATGTCTACACTCACCATACTTACAACTGTTATTTGTCCCTTCACCGTACCACAGTCGGCAAGGCAAGTGACTACCCCCCCCTCCCCCACACACGACGCACACTATCCCGTGTCCTGCATATTAAGTGGCGACACAGCGAGTGGATGCGGAGGACAATGGCACGGTTGAGAGGCTCCTGGAGGCCACACTGACACTAGCAATAGTGGCCTCCTGGTGCTGGTCGTGGATGAAGACGTGAGGGTAGAGAACACTTGGGTGACTCGAGGGGGTGTGTGTGTGTGTCCACCACCTGTCTTGTGTTATACAGTCGTCACGTCTCGGGGTTCACGGTTTGTGGCGTTCCGTCGAGGTGTGGTGGTTGTGTCGCTCTATCCACCAACACCACATATTACTGTTAACAACCTTTCAGCGATATGCATAAATCTTTTTACAAATATAACTATTCACATATTTGGCTGCGATATTTGGCCCACAATCCGTCTTTCCTGACCTCAATGAAAATGTTGTACCCTTGTGATGAATTTTTTCAAGTGTACTTCAAGTTTATATTAATATTCAACGACCAGACGTACGAGGGTTTTCTTTGAGTTAAATGTATACTCTTATAATACCAGTAATATATAACAGGCATTTGGCTGCTACTCATCAACTCACTAGATGATGAAATAAATATTAAACACACAAACCAACAACACTAACAACTAACAACGCCTGAAAAAAAAATACTATGAATATCCCAAGAACCAGACACAGCCTCAGAACTTTTCCGCCACATAAATATTTTCATTAAACTTTTTAAGCGGATATATATATTCCGACGCACTCACTCACCTGTCAGCCAGACATGCACACAGTTCCTCATGTAACTATGTTTTCAAGAGGCGTCGCTGCCACTACACAATATCTCTCCCTTTTGAAATATTTTCTTTGTTTATCATCCTTCCTCTGTTCCCACTTAATTTCTAGAGTGGGTCAAAGGAAACAGAACAATCTTTCTTCCCTTTCTCTTCGGCGCAATGTTGCTTCACTCTCTTTTACAGGTACTTTAACGGGCAATGTTCGGTGGATTTGGCATCCTGTGTACCGCCGGCAAGACCGTGGGCTCATAACGCTCGTCTTGCCCGCGGTGCCCACCGTTTCTCTGTGGATGTTGGTCACACTAGAATAACCCTTTATAGTGCATCCTTCTGTCCTCACACAGCCAAACTGTGGAATGCTCTGCCTTCTTCTGTGTTCCCATACTCATACAATCTGTCTCACTTTAAAAAGCTGGTTTTCCGGCATCTTCGCGGTGAAGATTAATATAACCTTTTCCTTTTTTATTTCTTTCTCTTCTTATCCCACCCCCCCCCCCGGCCCCGTTGTGGGTCGTTGACCTGTGCCCAGGTGGGCCAATCCCCGTAAAAAAAAGAAAAAAAAAAGAAAAAATCATGTATGGAAGGAACAAATGAGAGGAGAGATGCACAGACTTACAGTAGAGAGTGACGGGTTATATGAACTCAGACCACCAGTATAAACACTACACCTCCATACAATTACTGCATCATTACTTCTTCGATACTTCAAGGAATGGATTTAACAGAAACATATCGTCGACATTACAGTTATAACCAAAATATACTGCCCCACTACCGTAAACACACCGCTACACAGTGAATTCTTACAGCCCAAACAACTGCTTCTCAAACACTCGCGAATAAGTTAATGTTTTTTTCCGTCTTAACCGTGGACGTGAGAGCGCGTCCAACTGGGTCACTTGAGCAACGACACAAAGACGGCGGTTGAAATTGCACCGAAATTGCACCAAGGTTCTCCTGAAGGTGGGTAAATGTTCTTTCATCTTCAGTTCGCGAGAAAACTCCTTTTACCAATCGCTGGATCTCACTCGGCGGGGTTCATTCTCTGATATTCATAAGCTGAATTTTCTCGCCAACTGAATGTGTGAGGACACGTTTAACCGACCCGCAGAAACAACGATACTGAGATGACAATGTATATGACATCGAAATTGTTCTCAGACTATACTGTGCCTATAATTATCTGCGTTCTTTCAGTTTGTGAGGAAAAATAAAATACGAACTGTTGAGAATCCAGCCTCAAGGTCACGACACTCCCAGGTTTGTGCGGTACATTTCCCCCTTAGAATGACTCACTTTAGCTACGACACAAAGAAGGCGAACAAAATAAATTCGTCAACATTAAGACGAGACCCAAACATGCTTTCTCTCTAGATAAAGTAGGACACAGACAACCAGGAAATGGTCATAGGCTTAAAAACCTCCCTCGAAGGCAGCCAGCCAGGTCAGGACAGGCGGACATTGCAAGGGAGTCTCAGAGAATTTCGTCGCCTCAGGGGTGGGCCGGCCAGCGTGTCAATAGCTCTCTTCAAATTCACAATATATTGGTACTTGGTGTCGACCGCATGACAGCCCAATATAGTGAGTCGTATACCCCGTCCCTCTCACGGCAAGCCTGACCTGGTGAAACGCGGGGCCTGCTGGTGTATACTGGTGACCCTACTCTTGTGTAGCTCAATACGAGTTCTCGTGTTTACTGGTGACCTGCTGCTATCGTGGACTGGTAACCTGCTGCTACCGTGAACTGGCGACCTGCTGCTCTCGTGAACTGGTGACCTGCTGCTATCGTGGACTGGTATCCTGGTGCTATCGTTTACTGGTGACCTGCTGCTCTCGTGAACTGGTGACCTGCTCCTATCGTGTACTGGTGACCTACTGCTATCGTGTACTGGTGACCTGCTACTACCGTGTACTGGTGACCTGCTGCTATTGTGAACTGGTTAACTTCTGCTATCGTGTACTGGTGACACTCTACTATATCTCTCTCTCTCTCTCTCTCTCACACACACACACACACACACACACACACACACACACACACACACACACACACACACACACACACACACACGAGGTCGAGATTCATAGCTTTGTCTCATTAACACAAGACACACGAAGGTAAAAAAAAAAAGAAGCTTAACAACAACACGAGGGAAGAGCGTTGTGTCGACCCTTATTGACGGTATTCTTACTCACATAGTCCAGTAAGTTGATTGACGAGTCCACTAATAAGATCATATTTGTTTTACGGTAAATGTTTGTTGTGGTTTTCTCTTGTGGTAAATACATTATGACTATGTGTGAGAGGCGAG